TCAGGGAGTTTGATTGAAGAGATTTTAATAAAGAAAGATTTCATTTACAGAGGTATGGTCAGGATGAAGAAAACCAACAAGGCTCGGTGAGACGCTCAGGAGCTAGCCATTAGCACTTACAGGCCTGAAGGAATACCAAGAGGGAAAGGTGTTTCTGGGACCTGTGAATGCTGTGATTAAACAAGAACGCTATTCAAATGAGCCACAGCTGTAGGAACTCAACTGCTGCTTAGACTTGATAGTGGATAGAGAGAGGGTGAGGAGTAAACACCCAGAACATCTTCTCCAAGACCCCTTGGAAATGCTGCAGGACAGAAAAGGGTAAATAACGGCTGTAGGAAGACAGATGGAGAAGGCCTGGCACACAAGAATAGACATAGATGGCAGAATACAAATTTCACATGAGTTTTAAAAACATCACATAAGAAGAGACCAGGGAGGGAAAGGAACGCTGGAGTGTGGGGACCACATTCCCCTTGACTTGTGGAAACAGGACATCAGGCTGGGAGGAGGGAACTTGCAGCTTAATGAAACATAAACTCTTTTCTTGGACCTGGAATCTTTGCCGACAGGTGATGACTAATGTTTTCCCTTAAATTTGGGAAAAGTTTCTTGTGAACATGTCCACTTACTTTTTGAAGCCAAAATGAAACAGGGGAAGTATTTTTGGCCCAGTTTGGATTAGAAGATTAAGAAGATAATGTGTATGGCCTTAGGCAGGCACTAGTGAAGGAGCCTAAAGCCCCTTGGCATGAAGGTTGGGACGGATTTGAATAATGGAGATGGTCTTTTCAGAGCTCTTTTTTGTGGTTGCTCATACTTTGGAAGATTTCCTTTTCTTTTCTCTTTAACAAAGGTTGTCATCCCAGTCCACCAATCAGATCAACGATATCTATTTCCAATGCTGTACCTGTTGACCTGGAAACCCATACCAGCTGCGGGGCCAGAACAGGGCTACTGTCATGTTTTCTCATTCCTTTCTTGGTTCTACTCCTCCACAAAAAGCCAAACACTCCTCCTGAGATCCCACCATGAGGGCAGAAGAAGAGACTACATTGCATTGTACATCTGCATTGTCTAATTTAATAGCCTCCAGCCACAGGTGGACATTTGAATCTAAAATAAAATTAATTAAAAAGAAATAAATTTAGTTCTGGAATTACGATAGCTGCATTTCATGTGCTCCCCAGCCACTCACGGCTGATGGCTGCTGTATCCGGCAGTGCATAATAAAATTTCCATCATTCTAGAAAGTTCTATTGGACAGACTCATCTAGATCCTTGTGCAAAACCCTGGTTGGGCTAGAGGGCTGGCAACAGGATTCAAAAGCTGTCTTCACCCACAGAATCCTCTCTTCAATGACACGTGACTCTGTCTGGACTTGTATAATTTTCCTATACAGCTAGCAAAATCGTGATGATGATGATAATCGTGACCTAAATTTATTTAGCACTTACCATATGCCAATAGTACATTAAGAGTTTCAAATATCTATCAGATCATGTCATTACCACCACAACCCTGAGAAAGACATTGTTATAATCTCCATTTTAATGATGCAGAAACTGAGGCTGAGGGAAATTGTGGTCCCACAACTATTCAGTTATACCACATGAAATTGCCAATATTCAGACGTTTTTAAATGCAAACAGTGACTTCATATGGTTTAACCGCTTAGTCAATGGCAGAGCCAGGTTTCAAACCCAGACCCAAAGACCGTGTCAAGTTAAAGAAAGCTAAGCCTTTGTAAACGACCACCTTGAAACCTGCGTTATAGGAGTGCTGAAGGATTACGTGAAATACTGTTGGATTTGTGCCTGGTACACAGTAAAGCTTTTGAAACATTCTTTTTGTTTTAACTTCCTTGGATCTGTCAGTCTTACTTGCTGGGGAAGCAGTGCACAGGTGTCTGAGCAGATGTGGCTCGTGAGATTGGGAGGAGGGGGCCACTGCCATTTACTAGATTACCTCCTAGGGACCTGGAAAAGTCCATCTTTGTCATCAAGACCTCTCCCAACCCTTCCTCCACAGGACCCTACTCCTTTCTCTCAGGCAGTCTCTTCTGCTGGGAAGGTATGGACCATTCTCTCTGGGCTTCAAGCAGAGATGGGGTGATGGACATTGGTACTTCCTAACAGCCCCAGCAGATGCACTTCATTAGCAAATGCCTCTCCTCAGAGACCACAGAAGGGGCTGGAGGTTGACAGGAAGAGGTGGCTGCTGCATTGAGGGTGTTAGGTGAAAGACGGGGCGCGGTGGCTCACGCCTGTTAATCCTAGCACTTTGGGAGGCCGAGGTGGGTGGATCACCTGACGTCAGGAGTTCAAGAGGGTGTTAGGTGGTTATATAACCTGTGCTCCAGACCTCCTGCACATTGTAACTTTGTGTGAATGCATCTGGCAAATAAACTAATTAGACATTTCTTTCTTTTATATTTGGCAAGAAGGGAAAGAATCCCTTGGCTGAGAAGCCTGTTGTTTGGGCGGGGTTTGGATTTGGGGGTAATTTCCATCCCTAAGAGTAAAATTTGTCTTTCAAAAGCAATAGTATAGGATTGCCAGATATAGCAAATGAAAGTACAGACCCCTGAAATTAGAATTTTAAATAAACAGTTTTTTTTTAAAGTAGAAGTATATACCATGCAATATTTAGAAAATGCTTCTACTAAAGATTATTTGTTGTTTATCTTGAAATTTAAATTTAACCAGTGCTATGGTAGGGATGTGTCTCCTCCAAAATTCAGCTGTTGCCAATGTGATGGTTTTCAGAGGTGGGTCCTTTAAGAGGTGATTAAGCCCTGAGAGCTCCTCCCTCCCGAATGGACGCAAGGCCCTTATAAAAAGGGATTCTTATGGCGTGTGGTGAGCTTGCTCTTTTGCTGTGTGAGGATAGAGTTGTCCTCCTCCCTTAAGGAGGATATAGCAAAAGGGAACTGTCTTGGAAACAGAAAGCAGCTCTCACCAATCAACTGAATCTGCACATGACTTGATTTTGGACTTCCCAGACTCCAGAACCGTGAGCAACAAATGTCTGTTCTTTGTAAATTACCTAGCCTCTAGTATTCTGTTATAGCAGCACAAACAGACTAAGACACCCCAGGCTTCCTGTATTTTATCTGGCAACCTTATGACAGTAGGGCTTCTGTCCACCCTTCAGAGGCCAGGTCATTGCTGATGATGTTAAGAACGCTTGGGATTAAGGGAGAGAGAGATGTACATCTAGTTTGCCAGCTATAGCCTACTTTCATAATCATAGCTCCTTATGAGAGGGCAGAGCAAAGTGATTTAGGCTCCTGGCTCTAAAGATGTGTTCCTGGGCACAAGCAGCATCAGCATCACCTGGAACTTGTCAGAAATGCAAATCCTTGAGCTCCACCCCAAGCCTATTGATTCATACACCAGGGACAGGGTCGTGCACACTCTGCTTTAACAAGCCTTTCAGGTGATGCTGATGATGCCAGTTTAGACCTCCATCAAGAGCCTTGGGATTCAGACAGACCTGGGCTTGAAGCCCAGTCCCACTGTTTGTTTACTGGCTGTGTGTGAATGTAGTAGAATTACTTAACCTCTCTAAGCTTCCATTTCTTCCTAAATTAAAAAGTAATCCAATACCTTATTTAGGGATGTATTAAATATTAAATAAAGCTAGATGCTACATATAGCCCAAATTTTCTGTCATTGTAAGCAACTATTTTTTGTTTCTCTCTTTCTCTCTCTCTCTCTCTCTCTCTCTCTCTCTCTCTCTCTCTCTCTCTCTCTCTCGCTCTTTCTCTCTCTGTTGCTTGAATCAGAAATTTATTCTTATAACACAAAAATAGGTCCAGCCATGCCCTGAGACAAATTTGAGGGTCTACATGGCAAGCTCCAGCTACAGGGCAATCTTTGTGTGCTCAGTTCAAAGGAGCCTTTCATTCTCAACACTGCGATTTCCAATAGTCCCATGGAAGGAGAAAGGAATTAAGAGGAAAGGTTACAGGGAAAGAAAGGACCAATTTCCTGTGGGCTCTGATTCTCTAATCTAGCAACAGTGAGAGTGAAGGGCCACCCTGATTTAATTCCTTTTGTCCAGGACTTGGGCCACAGCAATTGTTCAGAAGTTAGGATTTTTTTTTTTTTTTCTTCTTTTCATGGAAAGGAGAGAGAAAAAGGAGGCCTGAGGTGGTGAGAAGAGGGTGGGGCTCCTTTTAATGGGGGAGGGTTAGTAGATTTAGGCATGTTTCACAAGTCCAGTCTTGGGGCTCCCATATTAAGTCTAGATAAGAGTTTCTGCAGTTAGTCACTTTTGGCATTTTGGGTCGGATAATTCTTTGTTATGGGGGCTGTCCTTTACTTTGTAGGGTGTTTAGCAACATCCTCAGCCCCTACCTCTTAGATGCCAGAAGCCCCCCTTATTCTTCACAGTAGTGGCAATCAAAACCATCTCCAGACATTGCTGGATGGCCTCTGGGGAATAAATTTGCCTTTGAGAACCACTAGTCTAGAGATTTCATTAGATAGTATCGACTTAAACAATTTTAATAGCTATTATCTATTTAGCATTTACGCATATTTATTATCCCCAAACTCATTTTACAAAGTAGGTGTTTGTGTTTATTTATTTATTTAGGGTCTCACTGTTATCCAGGCTGAAGTGCAGTGGTATGATTATAGCTTACTCTAACCTCAAACTCCTGGGCTCCAGTGATCCCACCTCAGTCTTCCGAGTAGCTGAGACTCCAGGTGTGTGCCAGCACACCAGATAATTTTCAGCAAGTTTTTGTAGGGGCACGGTCTCGCTATGTTCCTCAGGCTGGTAAGGCAAGTATTACCTACGTTTTACAGTTGAAGAAACTGAGGCTTAGAGGGTTAGAGTCACTTGCCCAAAACCACACAGCTGGTAGCTTTGAAGTTACTGAGGTTAGCCCAGCTACAAAGCTTGTAAAATTGCTGCTGTTATACTCTCTCTCTGGAAAGTTAAGAATTAAAAAAAATTTAAAGTAAAAAATTTTTCTCAAGTCAACTCAAGTCAAAAAGTATTTATTGAGCTAGATGCCAAAAGAAGCTACAAGAGAAACCTAAGCTGTTGCTCTGCTCAAGTTTTCAATAGGCATGTCCTTAAGAAGGTCATATGTTTCACACAACACAGTAAAAGAGCATTCTGAGTTTGGGCCAAAATGAGCATTTCTAGAAGAAGAAATTTGTGAACTGAATGTCCTTTGTATATGTCTGCTTCACATTTCCTTTTGTTGCCAATCATAACGATTAAAAAAAAGCAATGGAGCTTTGAAGTTCATGGAATCTACCAGCCACATATCCTCTAAAATATTAATTCTCTTGGCTTGGGTTGGGCTGTGGGTTGCTTCCAACCAAACACTCAGCTATCTTCTTTCTGGCTCTCTGCATGAAGTTCACCTCTCCCCTCTCCCTGCACATGGCAGTATACTCATAAGCCTTCAGCTTGCTGTAGTAATCAGAAAACTTGTTGTAGAGGATGGAAATGGGCATTCCGTTGAGAATGATCCCGAAAGCAATGCAGAGGAAGGCAAAAAACCTGCCCAGGTGGGTCTCTGGGCACATGTCTCCGTAGCCCACGGTGGAGATGCTCACCTGTAGAGGAAGGAAAGCAGGATGGAATTGTTAGCACTAAGACTGGGGAGGAGAAGAAAGGGAGAGGAACAGTCAGGGAAGTGTCCTTCTCTCTGTGAGTGCACCTGGGAAGTGGGAAGTGTAATGGCTTCCCATGGAGCCCGCTTTAGGAGGTATCAGGAAGACTACCTGTAGGACCTGTGTCATGAAAGGAACAGAAGCTGTGGATGGAGCTGAAAGACTTTGGCTTAAATCCCAACTATGAGTTATGCATCTTTTAATGTAAGATGTTGGAGGAGGTAATACCTATTTGAAAGGGTTGTTGTAAAGAGCATTTAGAATAGTATGTTAAGTTCCTGGTGTAGAATGGCTCAATAAATGATGATCTTTGCCTCCCCAACTTGGCTGGGACCAGCTTCAAGACAGAGGGTCCCTGGATTTGCCTATACACTGTATGTATTGGAAAAAGCTTGGTCTTAGAACTGTCAGACCTATGTTCAGGTCCTGACTCTGACCCTTTCCAGCTGAGTGACCCGGGGCGAAACCTTCAGACTGTTTAAAAAATTTTTTTAATTTTTCATTTGAAACAGGAGACAATCATCTAACTCTCAGTCTTCTTGTGAAGACTAAATAAGAAAATGAATATAAAGCACTGAACACAGTACCAGGCATACAAAAGGCATGAAACTCCTCCCTTGTCTTCCTCTCTTCTTTAAAATGAAGACAGTTACAACACTTCTCAGAGTTATGTAGTTCATATGAGAGGCTTTATATGAAGGTGCTTTAATTGCAAATGTATGGAGAGACAGTCTCATTATTTGGTAAAGGGAGTTTTGTAAGACATCACTGACCAAAAATATGTTCACCCCTGCATGAAATACTTCTCATCACTCTTGTCACACTGATTTGAATCCCACTAATTGGAGATTTATTTAGGTCAACAAGCTTCTGTTTTAAAGTGCAGATACCCATGGGACTAGTTTTCAGTTACCAGAGAAAAACCCTGGAAAAATTCCTTGGGGACTGTTTTTTATGCCTTGTGTACTCCCTTTGATCCCCAGAGTATTGGCTAAATTACTAGAAGCCTTTTAAACAGCGGTTGCTTGCAGTTGTAAAAATTTTTACATTGCACAACTCCAGGGGGCACCCTTTGCTTTGTGTATTTGGGTAGTTGATGCCATAATTTTCCAGCAGACGGCAGTAAAGCATATGGTCATTGTGTTGATCCATACTGAGGTGGACGTTAGCTTAGCAATGTAAATGTTTTTGTTTCGACGATATAAGGGTTAGTTTGAACCTAGAGTAGTGCAGTTGATTGATTAGAATGAAATGGAGAAGTGAGCCACCTGGAAAAATCTGGGGGCACTGATGAGAACTACAGCTCCATTCAGCTCATGAAAAAAGAAAGGGTACACCTCCTTTTTGGGGCTGGTGATGCACCTCCTCTCACTCACTGCTCTGTCTCTGGTGAGAGGTGTGCAGCCTTTTTTTTCTGTAGCGTCAGAATACAAGCAGGCATCCAAAAGAAGCAATGTGATATAGACAAGCTGAAGGAAACAGGGACTACACTAGACTTTGTGGGTCTGAATCCACTTCCCAGATGAATAAATTGGGCAGATCACTTAAATTCTCTTGGCCTCAGTTTCTACTTTTGACATGTGTGGTATCTACCTCACAGAGTAGGCAGGAATTGAAGGAGTGCCTGGCCCAGGGGGTGTGAGCAATAATATTAGCCATATGTCACGTAGGCAATCCCAGGGTCCCCCATCCTGAAGCCGGCCCCCGCTGAGAAAAGGCAAAGATCGACATTCATTGAGTGATTCTGCACCAACAACTCTAAACATGCCATGCTTATCAGACCCACAGGCTGTGGAAACAAGCTCCTCCCTGACTCCGCCCTCTGGCTCCAGTAGAGAATCTCCTTTTCCCAACTTCTGGACCAAGGGGTGATGTGAGGCAGTGATAAAGTGAGACTGCGGATTAATCTCCAAGTCCTTTCTGTTTCGTGAGTGGCTGTGTGTTTCTTGTCATTGGCCGCATCAAGAGTAAAAGAACCCCAGGCTGATCTCTCTCCAGGTGTGCGAGCTGAACAATAGCTTTCATTTGTCGCTAACACCATCACTCACACCTCTGGATGAAACTTTAGTCGACTTTCCTTGGTGGAGGCCTAAAGGAAGTTTGGATTTAGGAGTGAGTGGCAGGAAGGGGTAGTTTAGAACAGCCGTTCCCAACCTCTTTGGCACCAGGGACCAGTTTTCTGGAAGACAGTTTTTCCCATGGACGGGGTTGGGGGAGGGGATGGTTTCGGTTCCGTCTCAGATCATCAGGCATTAGATTCCCATAAAAACCTAGATCCTTAGAGTGTGCAGTTCACAATAGGGTTCCTACTCCTACGAGAATTTAATGCTGTGGCCATCTGACAGGTGGTAGGGCTCAGTCAGTAATGCTTGATGGCCCTTGACTCATTTCCTGCTGTGTGGCCTGGTTCCTAACAGAACACAGACAAGTACTGGCCTACAGCCCCGGAAGTGGGGACCCCTGGTTTAGAACATGAGACATCCATGGAAGTTCAATGCAGAGGCCTCGGTTAAAGTCACTTACGAGTTCAGAATGGTGGGGATGGGAGAGGGCAGGAGGACACCGAGGAAGAAAAGTAATGAAGACGGACGGTGTATTTTCAACTTTGATCATTCTGCACACTGGCTTTGCTTCACCCTTAAGCCAAACTTCATTATTTATTTATTTATTTATTTTTGGCTGAACGTTGAGTGAAAAGTCAAAAGCAAAAAGAATTGACTCAAAGAAGAATAAATATTTGATGTGCATAATATGATCCAAATATTTTTGTATATCTTCAATCTCTATTTTTAGAAAAAGATATCTTCTGCTAGGAGGCTATGTGTGACTAGTCCCCAAGAATTTATTCAAAATGTACAGTTAATTTATGTGTTGTCTATTTTGAGAATAATTTAATTCAACAAGTGATTTGTTTCTTGCTCCTTGGCTCCAGGAGGAACTCAGATTCCTTGGCTTTTTTTCTTCACATTCCATAGGCCAAGCCATTTCTCCCTAGATGGGAATTAAAAACTGAAAGCCCCAAACTGACCTAAGTGACCTCATAGAATGAGTTCCATTAGCAAGAGTTGGGTTTCGAAATGTGACCAACATTTCTGCAATCCATCTTAATATCCTGAAGAAAACTGGCTAGCTCAGCAACTCTGCAAACTGGAAACTTAACCATTCTGCTGTAAACGTATATACTTGCCTTAGCCTTAGGTCCAAAAGCCAGAACGTGACCTTCCCCTGGCAGTTTACACACTAAACGGCAAATCCTGGCAAGTATTATGAGGATAAGCATCAGTTTTTTTCTTTAAAACTTCAGAATACTTGGATTTCTCATTTAACAAGGCAAGTTTGTTTCTTTCATAATGAACGAGGAATAGAATAAATCTTGGCACCCAGCAGTCCATGCATGCAGGAATTATTTTTCAAAATAATTAATACACTTTCTGTTTCCCAAAGGAATTAGAGGTGGTAAAGATGGATATTTTTGGATAAAATTATAAGCCTCAATACACATTGTCATTCAAAGTATCCAGCTCAAAAGACTGTACTTTCTCATGCTATTGTTGCAACAAGTATATTTGGAATTCCTCTTTTGGGTTATAATCTGCACAGTAGATTCAGTGGCAGCAGATGGTCATATCTACCTTGATGGTTTACACTAAGTGTCAATCTTTAAATGTCTTAACTATTTTAAAATATTGAATCCAGCCTTAAAAAGGTAAAGATTTAGCAATATTACAAAGAAGCAAGTAAATGTATCACAAACGCTGAAGGTAATTCCTCAGTGGAATTCAAAGAATGTCTTGATTAGTGGAAGCACTGTTAGGATGAGATCATAGGTGACTACCTTCAAGAGAACAACCCTCATCTGTATCTTACAGTTCTGACATGTTTGTAAGTGGTATGATAAGGGGGAGGTGAGCACAGCTAAAGCAAAACCACAATGCAAGTTTGAGCTTCCTTGTGTTTCTCCCTGCCCTCAACAATTCTGTCATGTTCCACTCACATCATATTGGTTAACATAAGGAAGATACATTAAAGATACAAAAGGAGATCGCTCCCAAATCAGGAATTAATAAGATCAAAAGTAGCAACAGTGCCTAACAGCCTTAACCCCATTTGTAGCTCCTGCACTATTTCTGAAGGAGCTAGGAGAACTCTACTACCCTGTGTGCCAGATGTTTACATGCTGTCTCTCAGTCCCAAGCCTGGCACCCTTCTGTATTTATTTTTTCTGTAATTCCAGAACTGGGAGTCTGCAGACTAATTTCTCAGATTCTCTTGCCCACTGTCTTCTAGTTATGTTCTGCCTATGAGAGACTGGAAGATGGCAAGAGGACATAGGAGTCTCTATTCCTACCTCTGGTTTCTGCCATAATTCCTCCAATCGCAGCCGATAGCTATGTTTCAGGCATTTTTTGGCATTCCCGGCATCAGCCTCATGGTGCCAATTTAGGAGTCCCTGCAACAGCTACACAGAGGCCCCTCCTCTGGACTCTTAGGTTCCGGTAGCAGTATCTTTTCCTGTTTATTCTCCCAATTCTAGGGGCAATAGTGATTTCCTGCAGTTACCAATCTCTGGATTATCTCAGTTTTCTCTTTCTGCTCTTCCAGTCTTCTGACAAGTATCTATTTCCCTATATTAAATTCCTGTTTGAAGTATTCATCTTGGTATCTGTTTTTCTGACTGCAACCTGAGTATTTTTCAAAGGGGTTTCTTCAAAGCAATCCATTAACAAAAATAAAATAAATTTCAGTGATCTTGTAAGTGCCACCTATTGACAAGGAAATGACAACATACTTTAGGAAAACAAAGATAGGAGCAAGGTCTCTGGGACATAATGATCTGGTGCTTCAACTAGAAATAAATTTTCTTTTTGAGAAGTTAGTTTTTGAAGGAATGGGTTCATGCCATAGTTTCCTGTTTGGTTCCTTCAGCTTTAACTTGCCCTGGAAAACTCAGAAGGAAATGGTTCATTCAAAGTCTACTTATTCTTTTCTGCTGAAAAAATCCCCCCCCCCCAAAAAAGAAATAAAATGTAATATGTTGAGGCTGAAAAAAAGAAAAAATAGAAAAAAAACATACCCACACTGGAGGTCAATGATTTCAACTTCATCACAGAGCTCATTGTTCTTGCTGAGCTGTGTCATGCATTTCCCACTCCTGGGCAACCCAGAGAGCCTCAGGATGGCTTGAGCTGCTTTAGACATGGGCCTGTTTATCTGGTCGCTCAGAAGTTCTCCCATGATGGAACAGCTGACCTTTTTTGTATGTTTCATAGTCTCTTTCTTTTCCCCAGTAGAGAAGGAATCATTTCTGTTTTATTTTCTTTCCAAATGAATGTGGAAGCAAAGGTTATTGCTTCCATGTGATAAAGACTATCAACTACTCAGGCATGGTAGCTTCTATTTATTGCAGAATTACTAGAGGCTAGTGGGTTACATATGTTTCCTATTACATTAGTGCTCACAAATAACTTCCATTTGACAGATGAGTAAGACAGGTCTATCTTACATCCTAATACATGAGCATTTGTAGACATAAGTGGCCAGGAGGGATTTGTTTTGCAGCTGCAGGAGAATTCACAATAATGAAAATTACTGTATTGCTCTTAAATCCCTGAGTTGAATTACAGAGAAAGTTTGCAGGATCCTTGCATAGAGAGAAGAAAGATTATTAAAAGCAAGTCAGATCTGGGGTTGTCTGAAAGTACTAAAAATAAATAAAAGAATGAATAAGAGAAACTCTCTGTAATGTGGGATGAATATTTCACAAGGGATATAGCCCCAGAATGGTGGAAGAAATGCCAATTATATTTTTCTTTATTTAATCTTTAAACTTTCAATCTGTGAGTGTATGTTTTCTGATGTGTATAATATATTTGAGCAGTAATATATTATTGCAGGAGAAAGACTGCATTATTGGAACTAATTATTTACATCTTTCTGTATCTAAGCTGTTTTCCATGTGACTTTGCAGTGCCCTCCTACAGTAGGTAGGCTAACCTGCCCTGCCCCTTGACTTGCAGCTTGGCCATGTGATTTATTCTGTCCAATGGGCTAAGCAAATGCCATGGACATATGGCTGCTGGGGTCTGCTGGAGGAATGTGGAGGTGTAGTCTAGTCTTTCCCTTCATGCCAACTGACTGTCATGCATGTGAATGAGTAACAACAGCCTCATGAAAGAGAAGTCCTTTCTAGTTGAAACCAGAGTAAATGCTGACTTTTAAATTCATGAGCTAAATAAATGCTTCATGTTTTAAGCCACTGAGTTTCAGGGTGGTTTGTGATGCATCATTATAGCAATAAGTAACTTCTAATTTATAAATACATACACATTTATCATGGGTATATGCCCCAAATTTTTTAAAATGATAAGATGCATGATCAATACAATGCTTAGAAACCACTGGATCAGTTACTTTTAGGAGTCGTCTTCTCAGATTGTCGTGTGTTTAGTAAGGTGCATTTAGGTGAGTCTCTTTTCATCTTTCAAATTTTATCTCAATGTCATCTTCTCCAATAGGGCTTCTATGACTATCCCACTAAAGACAGACTCTACCACCTGATTCACTCTCAATCTTGTTATCCCACACAAGCTATACCAATACCTGAAATTATTTATTATCTGTCTTTCTCCATTAGAATGTAAGCTCCGCAAGAGAAAAAATTTCATTGTTTTTTTCTTCTCCTACCCTGTATCCCTAGTGTTTAGAATACTACTGGGAACATTCGAGGTGCTCAGAAACTTACTCTTCAATGAATGAGGTGAATTTTTGTGGGTTACATGACAGATTGGTCCTAATATTTTTCTTCTTTTCACTTTGCATCTACATATTGGAAACAAGAAATTTTGTCCACATCATTTTGAAGTGTTCTTTTCTCTTTGTTCTATTGAGAATATAAACCTTTAGTCTATATTATGTAGTGTAATTAGAAGTATAGAGAAGAACTGGATTACTGAGATAGCAGTCCTGAGAACACAGCACTCTTAGGATATTCAATGGCAATTGCTCCCATTGTTTTCATAGATTAGTTTATAAATATATATCAATTATCAGTCTTTAATTTATAACAAATTTTACTGGTATAATTCTGAGAATAAAATGGACAAAGAGCATTGGTAAAGGGTAAGGTTGGTAAATGGGATGGTTGGAGTGTGCACAATTTGGTCTGTGAAAATATTGTATGAAAAAGGAAATTCATACATATAAAAGCAATAACTGGTAACATTTATTGATAAAAACTGGTGATTCAGCTTTTGTAAAGTTTATGAGAAACACTGCTTTTGAGTTAAATGTCAGTTAAGATAAAAAGGGATAATTTGAAAGGTTTAGACTTAATTGTAGATTCAACAGATCAGAAATTTAAGTGAGATCAACGGGTATTCAGTTCAAAAAAAAAATTACTGGTAGAAATCCAACATGAGTAACATTATTCTTTATGTATTTTATTTTAATTAAAATTTTTTCTCTAGTCATATCCCTTTGAAAGTAACATAACTTTTATCAAAGTATTTGTTAATACACAAAAGGTTGAAAAAACTTTTGAGGGTTAAAACTGTAGTATCAAGGAGTCTACTAGGTCTAGTGCCTCGATGAACTAGCCTTTAGAGATGTTGAGATGAATAGAAATTTGACTCTCAAATGTTGTATCATATCATCAGTGTGTGGATTTAGTCTTCTGCTTTCCTGCTTTAGTCACCTCCAAAGTAAATGTCATTTTCTGGGGACAGATCATCCACCATGAGCCTCATCAGTACACATGATTTATCTACTATGGGGATGACCTTTCAGCACTTGGAATATGATCAGAGAATCAGCATTTGGCTAGCTCATTCAGAAGAGCCTTGTGTCATCTTGTCACTGAAGAAAGCTCACATATCCTCTATACATATGACCTCCCTACTTTCAAAGGGAAGGAAGACTCACACTGAAGTGCAGATTTCTACATGTCCAACCTCCCTTTTTAGAGGTGGGAAAACAGAACAGGGAGGGAGGGGTTGAGGTTTCACAGTTAATTATTCAGGGTCATGGCAGGTCTGGTACTAGGATCAGGTTTTCTAAATCTTTTATTATGCTACATTGGACTGCCAGTGGCCTTGGGTTGGGTTTGTCCGAGTAGTGCATGCCAACTGTGGGTTATGACATACACAGTGTTAATGTTGACAATATCTACTTTTTGTCATGGGAAAACTGGTTGTATTTGCTTAATGTTTTTAAAGGTATTACAATCTACTTTAAAAAAGAAAACTAAGGAAACTATACATTCAATTCTTTCCTTTATATATTCCAACTCATTCATTGATTTGAGAAGACCCGATTAACATTTATTTCCAGAGAGTCATACACCATAACTCAAAACACAGATATTTGAGTAAACAGTACACATTATAAAAAGGCAAGCTCCAAAGAAAACAATGACCAAAAATAACTATTACACTAACTGTACAAAGTCAGCAATGCGTGCAAAAGAACTAAAACTTGAAAGAGATAGTGCTTGGGTATGGGAAAGGTGTGGGTTTTGGAGTTGGGAGGGGGGCTGAGTTTTAGTTCTGGCTTGGCCACGTCTAGCTGTGTGTCCACACTCAAAGTCTCTCTACCTCAGTTTCACTAACTGTAAAATGGGGCAATAACACTGCGTTCTGAAAGAATTTTAGTGAAGTCAGAGCAAGTTTTGGTTTGAGATGCTTTTTCCACATTCAGGTTTAACTGGAACCAGAGGTGGTGGGATTTCAGTTAGGGTCTACATGGTTCAGCCAAGTCTCACCTCCTTCTCTGCATAAATCTACAGTTTCTTTCAAAAACTGAAGGCATTTCTGCTTGTCCCCTTAAAAAAATGGTGGTCATAACCATCTCACAGGGTTGTGATGCCAAAATGAGATAAGCTTTGTAATCCATTTAGGACACTGGATGTTCAGTAAATGGTAATAACAGTAATGGTGGTGAATCATCTTTCAAATCTGTCTTTCAAAGGTTTGAAGACTACATCTAGATTTGGAGATTTCTACAATTGCAGTTACTTACTGAACTGCTGAGATTGTGTTTCCAACACTTTGACATCCACTGCCATTTTGTTAGCTGTATGCAGTGACCGGGGGTGAGGATGAAGATGAGGATCAGAAGCCAAAGCTTCGTGACTGATAACCAGGGAAGGGAGGAGCAGCTCGTTGGGCTGGGGAAGAGGATGGGAGAGCCCAGGGCCATGGTACTCACCGCGGCCCACCACCAGGAGTGGGGGATGGTGGTGAAGTTGGTGCCAGGCACATCGTACTCCACGGAGTAGACAGCTGCGGCGAAGGTGAGGATGCCCATGGTGATGAAGAGCAGCAGGCAGCCCACCTGCTGGTAGCACTGGCGTAGTGTGAAGCCGAAGGCACGCAGTCCGGTGGAGTGGCGTGCCAGCTTGAGGATGCGGAAGATGCGCATGAGGCGCATGATGCGCAGCACCTGGCCCACCTTACCCACGCTGCCCACTGTCTGGCCGCGCTGGTGGTCCTCGCCCGTGAAGCACTCAAGCAGCAGCTGCAGGTAGAGCGGCAGGATGGCCACCAGGTCCACCAAGTTGAGGGCGCTGCGCACGAAGCGCCTCAGGTCAGGCGTGGAGGCAAGACGCAGCAGGTACTCGAGCGTAAAGAAGCCGATGCAGAGCATCTCCACGTGCTCCAGGATGGACCGCATGTCTGGGCCGCCTTCGTCCTGCTCGGAGTGCTGCTGAATCTCCTCCACGGTGTTGAGCGCCAGCGCCACCACAGAGACGAGCACGAAGATGCTGGAGGCCACCCCAATGGCCTTGGCGGCCACCGAGGAGAACGGCTTCTCCAAGAGGTTCCAGAGGCGGCGCCGCAGCGGCCCATAAAAGCGCATGTCGCGGAAGAGCTCCTCTGCCTCTTCCAACTGCGCCTGGGCGCGCAGCTCGCGCTGGATCTTGAGCTGCTCGCTGAGCTCGTCGCGCCGCTCCTCGAAGCAGATGCGGCAGCAGCGCGGCGTGTACTTGAGCCGCACGCCCCAGTAGCCTAGCTCCTCCAGGAAGCAGCGTGGACACAGCTCGTCCAGCACCAGCAGCACCCCGGACAAGTAGAAATTGTAGACCAGCTGGAAGACGGCCGGGTCGCGGTCGAAGAAGTATTCGTCTGTCTGCTCCTCATAGTCGTCGCACAGGCTTAGCTGGCGGCTGCGGCTGGTGGAGGTGACCAGGCGACCTAGGCGCGTGTTGGGGAAGCTGGCCAGCTCGCAGTAGTCCAGCTGGTAGCTGTGGCCGCCCACGTTCACATTCAGCGTGGACAACACGGCCGGAGGGTTACTGGGACCTTCAGGCTTGGCGGTGGTGACCACCTCTGCACGCTGGTCCTCCTCTGCCGGTTCGTCTTTCCACTGGTCCTCCTCCTCCCCATCCTCGTCCTCCTCGATGTAGTAGTTGTAGTTGCCCTCGGTCCATCCTTGGATACTGGCCTGGGAGCCGGAACGGCCCCCCAGGGAGCAAATGCTCTTGCGGTGTTGGCTGCCCTCATTCTCCGTCGTCTTCCAGGGCTTGTAGCTCCAGGACCGTCTCCTCTCACCCTGTTTCAGCATGGCTGTGGGACGTAGATGCCTTGCTTTTTCCTCCTAGCTGTTGTAGGATCCCTAACCTGCTCCTCTAGGAGGATGGATCAGGTGGCCTGCACTGTCTTAGGCCAGCCTGGACCGGCACATCTAGGGGCCCAGGCATTGCTACCAGAGCTGCCTCTCCTCAGGCCCTGGGCAGGCCAACCCAGTCTGCGGGGTCTGAACACAGTCCGCTGTTGACTGCTCTAATCTTGCTGACTGGGAAGAAGCAAGTGTTAGGAGGGATTTAGAACCTCTTAGCCCATTTCCTCCCCCACTCCCTCAACCCTGTGACGTAGAGGATGATTATGTGGTCTTAAATCGCTAGAGAATCAGAAGAAGGCAGAGATTATTGCTAATAAAAATGTCAGTCAACCCTGCTCTTAGGAAGTGCTCAATGTATGTGTGCTGAGATGAAATGAACTGAATTCATTAGCTATAGAATACAGATGCCTGTGTCTTCAGCTTCATGACCGACATTGTAGCCTCTGCCCTAGGTAAGCTTATCATTAGCAGAGATGACAAACAGCAACAGAACAAAGCTGACTTCATGACAAGTCAGTTTCCCTGTCAGCATAACCCTTCGTTTAGAGCATATATGATCTAAAGTAATCTCCTTGTCCATTCACGTGATCACTTTTTTTTTTTTTTTCAAATGGATACTCCCTGGGGGTACTGCTCTGAGGTCCAGTCAGATCCTTAAGTCAGCTTCAGCTTCTCTCTCTCTTCTTTTTTATTTCCTCCCTTTCTTTTAAAGGATAGGGACAAATTTCAAGGTAGAGTTCCAGAATGATTAGAAGATGTTTTTATAGGGCCTCACAACTCTCCTCAGCTGTATTAGGCCATATTTAAAGGTGGCCTGACTTCCACCCAAAGAAAGGGTCTTCATCATCCTTCAAAACATCACTTCTTCAAAAAACCCTTTTTCATGGTTAAGGCACTGTGCAAATGCTGGATATGCAAACATGATGGAGACACAGTTGCAGCACTCAAAGAACTCCTGGTTTTTGTTGGGGACATAAACCTGCAAGGATAACAAAAGATCCAGTAAAAAAAAAAAAAAATGGGACTGGAGAAGAGGGAGAGATTTGCTTTGATCAGGAAATTGTTTTTTTTTTTTAATTCAATTTATTCTGCATAGCTAATACACATTCAAGGTAAAAGAATATTTTAAAGGTAGAAAGGCATATTACAGTAGAAAGTTAATGTCTTTCCAACCGTAATTTCAAGCCATCAGGTGTACCTCAAGGAAGCAACCACTGTTAACTACCTTTTGGCTACCCTTCTAGAAATAGTCTAAACATACAGAAGCAAAATTATACCTGCCTTTCTCCATCATCTCAATACCTCTCCATTAATAGAAATCATAGAATGCTATATACACTTTGCTTTTTCCAGTTGACCACATAAAAGATGTTTTCATATTTGAACACAAATATCTCCTTATTTTAAAAACAGCCACCGAGCAGTTTCCCAGTGACAGACATTCAGGATGTTTCTCCCTTTGCTTCTATAAACAATTATGAAACAAATACCTTATATGTACATCACTTTACAGAGGTGAGTTACTAGGTCAAAGATTGCACATTTGTAATTTTAATTAGTAGTGCCAAAATTCTCTCCGTAAAAGTTTTACCAACTTACAACTCACCATCAATGGTTAAAAATGTCTTATCACACTTTTGAACTCTACCAATTTTATAGGTGAAAATGATGTGTGGGTTAATTTGTATTTCTCTTATAAATTTTATTGAACACTTTTTTCATGTGATTAAAAGCTATTTTTCTGGGAACTGTCTGTTCATCTACTTTGCCTATGTTTTTCATTGAATTGTTTGTATTTTTCTTATTGATTTCTAGGAGAGCTTAATATATTATGAAAAAAGACCCTTGTGATATGGATTGCAATTTTTTTTCTCAGTTTTTCCTTTAATGATATTTTTTCCATGTAAAAATCTTTATTTTATGACTTCTGGGTGTTATGTAGTGTTAGAAAAGGCTTCACTTCTCTATAATTCATAAAAATTTCATTTTTAACATCAGAAATTTTGATGTAAAGCGTGAAGTAGGGGCCTAACTTCACTTTCCAAACTTTTATCCAGATGCTTCAACAAGTTAATTGCATAATCCATCATTTCCTCACTGGTTTGTGGTGCTATCTTTATCACTTAGTTGAGTTTTAACCATGTTTCAAAGTTGTTGAGACAGGTAACATTAACTATGAGGTCTGCATCTGCTAGTATAGCCTTCACTGATGTTGTTTAGCTTCCAGTAGGCCTCAGACCTACAAGCTTATGCTAAAGCTTCTTACCAGGCTTAGCCTTTAAGTTCCTAAATGTACTTCTAGCATTCCCTTTTTGGCATACAATATTGATGTTATTTCATTAGCCACACACTTAACTGCTTTCCAAGACTATCTTTTCTTTATATTGTACTGAGTACTGCCATAATAGATTTTGCATGTTGCATAAATTCACCTTTTCTCTTCAGAACCAATTATACTATTATAAAAAGTAAAGGTCGGGCATGGTGGCTCACGCCTGTAATCCTAGCACTTGCGGAGGCCGAGGTGGATGGATCACTTGAGGTAAGGAGTTCGAGATCAGTCTGGCCAACATGGTGAAACCCTGTCTCTACTAAAAGTACACAAATTAGCCAGGCTTCCTGGCAGGTGCCTGTAATCCCAGCTGTTTGGGAGGCTGATGTACAAGAATTGCTTGAACCTGAGAGGCAGAGGTTACAGTGAGCCCAGATCATGCCACTGCCCTCCAGCCTGGGCAACAGAGTTAGACCCAGTCTCAAAAAAAAAGGTAAAAATGTCACCATTTTCATATTTTTTATCATCATCTTTTTCAGTTGAAATCATACATTACTCCAGGCTAGAGTACAGTGGCCTGATCTTGGCTCACTACAACCTCTGACTCCTGAGTTAAAGTGATTATTCTGCCTCAGCCATCCAAGTAGCTGGGATTACAGGCACCCACCAGTACACCTGGTGAATTTTTGTATTTTTAGTAGAGACAGCGTTTCACCACATAGGCCAGGCTGGTCTTGAACTCCTGGCCTCGGGTGATGCACCCACCTTGGTCTCCCAAAGTGCTAGGGTTACAGGTGGAGCCACTGCACCCAATTCATATACTACTACTTATCCAAACTTACAACACCCTCAAGGTTTTTTCACTTAAAAACTATGGAGTCAGTAATGTTTGTATGGCATCTTGAAGCTAAGCAGAAATTCCACATTGATACAGTAGATTGAGGGATATGACCTTGGTAGACTACACTTAAGTGACTGCGACACCCCTGGTATGAGCAGTTGCTTGGATTTTGCCCTGATTTATATGCACGGAAGTGTAACAGTAGATGATTATACATATCCATAGACACAGTTTCTAATAAAACTGTCCAACAATGGTTGATTCATAAAGTGGAAAGTACCCTCTTTAAAAAAAAAATTTTACTTTAAATTCCAGGATACAAGAGCAGAACGTGTAGATTTGTTAGATAGGTATACATGTGCCATGGTGGTTTGCTTTACCTATCAATCCATCATCTAGGTTTTAAGCCCCGCATGCATTAGCTATTTGTCCTGATACTTTCCCTCTTCTTGCTCCTCACATATGACTGGCAGTGTGTGTCATTCCCCTCCCTGTGTCCATTTGTTCTCATTATTCAACTCCCACTTAAGAGTGAGAACATGCGGTGTTTGGTTTTCTGTTCCTGCGTTAGTTTGCTGAAAATGATGGCTTCCAGCTTCATCCATGTCCATACAAATTACATGGTCTTATTCTTTTTTATGGCTGCATAGTATTCCATGGGAAAGTACCCTCTTAATGCATTAAAGAATCGGTAGAGCAGGCTGCAAGGGAGACTTGCACAGGGTGGAAAGTAGGACTGGATGACCTTCATGTCCCCTTCTTGCCTTTAAATTACTAAGATTATAAGTCTTTGCTTGATGTTCCATTTGCCTTGAATTCCATTCTGACCTTCTTCTTAAATCTTTGGCTTCCAAAAGTCAGCTCAGACATCGTCTTTCTCTTTCAGTGATTCTTCTCTGACCTCACTGTGTTTCTCCAAGGTGAATCAGCCGTCCTGTCTCAGTGTCTTCATTTAAGATAGCATATACCACTAGCTTACAACATGAGACACTTATTTTAACTAAGAATGATTAAAATTTTTGTTCTAAGTTATATAAGTGCATCATAGAAAAGTTTAAAAATAGAAAGCAGAATCCCAATAATTGATGCAATATTAAGTAGTAACTATAATGTCCAGATACTGTCATATTAATGTTTACACCCATCCTATAGCATAGGTGCTATGATTAATCCTGTTTTACAGATGAGAAAACAGATGCAAGTTAAGTGTCTGTTTCACAGTAGGTTGGCCAGAATGTCATTATAATTATTATTATTTTCTAATTGATAGCGGAAAAGTTGAATTACATTTTTGCTTTAACCAACTCTGTATTAATGATTTAATGATTTAATACTCTATATTTATATGTTCCTCATTGCCTCTGAAGTCTTTAAGGGAAAGAATAATCTTGTCTCTGTGGCCCCAGCACTAAGAAGGGGGTCTAGTATGGTAGCAGATTTTAAAAAATTATTAAAAGGATATACAAAGTCTTACTGTATGACTTCGTACAACAGCATGTGAAGCTACCGTTATCTCAACATAAAAAGTTAAAGAATATTTACTACTGTGCATTGACATAGCCCCAGTCCCCACTTTGAAAGAAAGAAAATGAATAAGCTGTGTGGAACAGTGGCTGGGATTTATAGAGATTTTCCTTGTTGACAGAGATTTACAGGTAGCATGGTACAGTAAAAAGAACACTGGAATGCAAACAGACTTGATTTTGCACTCTGGTTACAAAGCTTTGGGTAAATTACTTGGCCTCTTTTAGGCTCTGTTTTCTCATCTATAAAATGGGTTACTGGAACATCTGCTAATATAAAACGAGAATACTTCTCTATTTTCCCTTGGCCTGTGCCCAAACCTTGGCATATAATAGTTACTCCTCAAAAGACAGTCATCTCTCCCTCATCTAGCCATCTCCTTCCCCAACTTCTGACTCTACACCTATAACACACAAATAAGTTTATTTTTATTACCTGCAGAGTTTCTTAGCACAGAAATAATGGTTATGTTCTTAGTCCACCATTAACATTAATTCCTTTATATGAAGGTAGCATTGACTGATAGAATTTTCTGTGTGGATGGAAATGTTCTTATGGCTTAAAACATGCCTGCTAGTGGCTTTGTTTTTCTTTTGTAGAGGTGGGATTTCACCGTGTTTCCTGGGCTGACCTCAAACTCTTGAGCTCAAGTGATTTACCCACTTTGGCCTCCCAGAGTGCTGGGACTA